ATAATTTGCAAAATGCATCAACAATAATTGTTTTATTCCATTAAAATAAAGTTCATGTATTACTTTCATATGTGCTCACAATTATCACAGAAATGGTATTAAAATGTCACGACAAGCCAGGCTCAGCTTGTAATCCTGTGCCTTTGGGAGGCTGAGGTGAGTGGATTGCCTGAGCCCGCGGGTTCGAGACCCACCTGGGCAGCGAGACCTCATCTCTACAATAAATCAAAAAATCAACCGGGCGTGGTAGCGCACGCCTGTAATTCCAGCTATTCAGAAGGCTGAGGCGGAAGGATCGCCAGAGCCCAGCCGGTCGAGGCTGCGGTGGCCGGGAGCAGCCACTGCACTCCAGTCTGGGCGACAGAGTGAGACTTCAACTCAAAAAAAATGTCACAACATGGTAAAAAATTTTGTCTCTTTATAAATGCATAAATAGCTGTGTGTATTACTTTTCCAAATCTTTCTGAAATATTATTTTATTTACTTTTCTATTTTATTTTTATTTTAATGATGTGGGGTACAATTCAGGATTAGGTAGATAAGGGGTCATGATACAGGTAAAGTTTTTATTGAAGCAAAGAATAGTATGTCAATAAACAAATTACAGCATGCTACCTTTCTGTTCAAAATCTTCCAAGGCCAACAGCTTTCCTTCTCTCTTTGAGTAAAAGCCAAATCCCTTGCCAGGACATGCAAAACTCTGCTGGCCTTGTGCCACCCATGCCCATCACATTTCTGTACTTCACTGCCCTGATTCTTCTCTTTCTCACTCACTGGTCTCTGTGCTTTGGAAACGATGCAAGGAATATTCTAAGATTGGAACATTTTCATTTTCAACTGGGTTTCCTTTGTCTGTCTATTTTCCCCAGACATGCATGTGACTGGATAACTATCTTAGTTATTCAAATGTCACTTTCTCAGTAAGGCCTTTTGTGGCTTTCTCCATATTTAAAAATGCAGACCCCCATATACATGGTCTATTTTTCCCTTCCTTGATTTACTTTTTCTCCTTGCCATTATCATATATATATTTTTACATATTATGTATATGATATGTATATCATATATATTAAATATTTATATACATAATTTATAGATATTGTTTACATATTGCAATTTTATTATATACATTATTTTATATACAATTCTAATTATTTTGCTTATTTTCTGTTTTTCCCCACTAGAATGCAAAAATGTAAACTTCAAAAATTTACAAATCTTTATTGCATCAAAATGTCCCTAGTGCTTAGATCTGTATCTGTCATATAGTAGATGCTTAATAATAATTGTTGAATGGATGGGTGGGCTATAAAACAAACATATGACAGATAGTGCACAGGGTTTGATACTGAAACAAGTGTGATAGGAGGGGCAGAAGTAGAGTTTAATGCCCAGAAGTCACTAGGAACAATATGATAGAGACTTGTCAATCTCAACAAATTGATCGACGTTTTTAAAGCTATTGAAGTTTTGTTGAACAGAGACTGTAATTGGGTGGCCTTTTGTTTTATTTGCTTAAATTAATGCTTGCCTTTATGAACATTATTTTGCATATATTGAAATCAGGTTTATACTTTAAAGAAGAGATCAGGTGATAATGTTATTCTATTAGGAGTTAAAGAAACAGAGTTCAGGAGCACTGCTGCAAGACGAGGCTCTTGAATAGGGATTTGTTTTTCAAAAATGGAAATAGTGTCAGATACATGAGAGTTCTATGCCAGAGGCTGACAGTAACAGGAAAAAGATAAAACCAACCTAATTTAATTAATGAATCTTTAATTAGGAGAAGGTAAATCTGCAGGTCTAGATATAAATGACAATCAGTTTGCTGTCAGAATCATGTCAGAAAGTCACAGAATTACTAATATATTATGTAGCTTCTTTGCTGTGTCACAGGAATTGAAGGAAGGTAGTTACAACCAGGCTAAAGGTAAAACCAGAAAACAGTTACCTTATAGAAAGGATATGACTATAGGAGGCACCATAACTGAACTTTATTCTAATTAATTTGAGAAGAGCAAACTGAAAAATACTCTAATAGAGAGACATGTTGTGTCAGATGAAGGAAAATTAGAGCATAGAGCAGTGAAGTGGTTTGTCTAGAGTCTCTCAGGATAGTCATGGCAGAGCCAGAACTGGAACCAAAATGACTTAAGCAGTTCCTACATGGAGTAGTTTTGTTCTTTATGTTTTTGTCAATTCATTTTTTCACTCAGCTAATATTTTTTGAAGGCTTATTATATGCAAATTACTGTTCAATCCCTGCTTTCTTATCTTTTAATGTGGAGATGCAGACATAAAAAATATCACAAGTCAGAAGGGGATGAACGCTGGGGAGAAAAATAAAGCAGGAGAGAGAGCTGCAGAGCATCTGAGAGGTGGGAAATGGTGAAGGAAAAGCTCATGCTAGAAGAGAAGTGGGCTCTGAGGGTATCTGAGGAAAGACATGCTCTAGCCAGAGCAAGTAGCAAGTGCAGAGGTTCCAAGGAAGAAGTGTCCTGGTATGTTTGAGGAATGCAAGGTTGGTGTGGCTGGAGCCAAATGAGCAGAGAGAGTTGTGAAGAAACAGAGGCAAGAGGATTCAGATGGAGGGACTTCAGCTGTTTTATGAACTTGACTATTACTCTGAACAAGACCCACTGTCATTGAGGGATTTAAGCAGAGTATCAGAATATGCTTGATATCTGAAAAGGCTCTCCCTGGTCGCCATGTTGCAATTAGATGTGAGGATTCAAGGATGGGAAGCAGGGGACAGATAAGAAGTCACGGTGGTGATGCCAGCAAGAGGCAATGGTGGCTTTGACCCCACTAGTGGTGGAGCTGGGGAGAGGAGTGCTCAGACTCTAAAAATATATTGAAGGTAGAGCAGTCGGGATTCACTGGCAGATTGGTTGATAAGAGTTGAAGGAAGAGAGGAATTAACAGTAATTCCCAGATTTTTGTTCTGAGCAGCAAAAAGAATGAAGTTGCCATTTACTTAATTAAAGATGACTGCATGAGAAGGAAGTTCAGGAAGACTCTTTTGTTCTGTAGTACATATTCTCTCTCTTCCTCTCTGTCACTCTCTCTCTCTCTCTCTCTCTCTCTCTCATACACACACACACACACACACACACACACACACACACACACACACACACACCTCTTTCTCTCTCCCTTCCTCTTTTTTCTTTGCAAGTTATCAGTTAACAAAACTAGATTGGTCTGTAGCATTTCCCATAACATGAATTTCACAGATTCTTTCCCCTTGGTGCCACTTAACATGATCTCTTTTCTTTATTTTCTAGAAACCGGCAGCTAGATCTATAAGCTTGGTCAAATCCATGCTTAGTTTGGTCAATACTACTTTATTTGTAACACTGATTGTGTACACTCATCTAGAGATATGTCGTGTCTGGTTTCACTTGGTTATGTTAGCTGCCATTGATAATCACTGCTTAGCTCCTTCTAATTTGTTAGAAGTAGTGAAATAATGCACTCTAATTCTACCATTTTAGTCTTTTTTTATGAATGGAAATATTCACATAAAGAGAACATTAGTTATATTACAGTTCATATAGGAAAGGCAGGCTTAAGTGCTTGATACTGTCTTCTTATTTACCAATATTCAAAATAGTGAGTTGGTTACCTAGCATCTTCCAAAATTAAACAAGTTTTTAAAATTTAGTAAACTTATGGGTTTAAAAATACTTGATGTATTTTAATCCATTGCAGAAAATTCTTATTGATATTAAAATTGTCTCCTATTTGGCCATGGAGATTTTTGAACTGCCCTCAGTTGCCAATAACTTATTTTTTTATGTTGTGATGCTATTTTCCTGGCTCATCTTGTACCTTGTACATTTCCAGCCTTGGAATCCATTGTTTCTCCAGGGATCCTGGTTTTTTTTTTCTTAATGAAAATTGTATTTAGTGATGACAGTCTGGCGTTAAGGAACTGATCCTTACCTAGGAGATTTTTCAGTGTGCAGAAACAGGTTTTTAACATGCTCTTAAGTTTTTAGTGATGATATATATATATATATATTTGTTTGTTTGTTTGTTTTTCGAGTTGGTGTCTTACTTTGTCTCCCAGGCTGAAATGCAGTGGCACACTCATAGCCACCCAGTGTCGACTTGCTGGGCTCTGGCAATCTTTCCGTTTCAGCCTTCCAAGTAGTTGGAAAAATAGGCACGTGCTATCATGCCCAGCTAATTTTTTATTTCATTGTAGAGACGAGGTCTTGGCCTTGTTGTCCGGGCTGATCTTGAACTCGTGGGCTCAGGTAATTCATTCACCTCAGCCGCCCAAATTGCTGGGATTACAGGCTGAGCCACTGAGCCCAGGCGTTAGTGATGCTTCTAACTAAAATTTAAAAGTATGTGGAGTTTTTATTTAACCTTATTTATTGTATATATGCTTTTTCCTTATACTAAAATTTTCATGGTCTAAAACACCAAGATACTCATTTGCTTGATCCCATATGTGTAGAGCATTTCAATAACAGAGCATCCGGTGTCTAATTTTCCTGAAAGGTCAGGAGGAGAAGAATATTTGTTGACAAGATGAAGATGCATATTCTGATTAGACAAACACCATGGAGGAAGACCCAGAGGCTTGAGAGAGTATAGTTCATTTAAGAAAGAGCAAATGCCATTCTACCAGAGGGATGATGGATTGCAAAATCAGGAAGAAGCTGGAACATAATGAGCCTCACATTCAATGCTGTGGTTGTTGGAGCCCCAAGCAGACACCCAAGCTGTATTTTGATATGATTTTGCTTCCGGAAGTATCTTGCATTTGTTTTTAATAAAAAATGTTACTTTTCTACTCTGTCCTTATAAGCCAAACTTTGGTATGAGAAAAGTGCAGGGGTTACTTTAAGGAGTGTTATCCTCAACTCTGTTCTATATCAGTTCAATGAAAATACCAGTTAAAGTATAACTTAGTTATTTTCTGACATTTGAAGAAGCATTTGTATACTAATTACCCAGTGTCCTTGTTGTTTTTCTTCCCACAGAGGACAAAGTATGGACCATAGTGTCTCATGACTTGCAGATGCAGACGACCGTGGTTGGCTACAACCCAGAAAAATACTCGGTGACACAGCTCGTTTACAGCGCCTCCATGGACCAGATAAGTGCCATCACTAACAGCGCTGAGTACTGCGAGCAGTATGTCTCCTATTTCTGCAAGATGTCAAGGTTGTTGAACACGCCAGGTAGGCCGAGAATGGAATGTTACTTTTAATTACTATCTCAGCTGGTGCTTGGAATTACCTAAACAATCCAACAGGTGTGGCTTATTATCTTATAGTCCAGTCTTCAATGTGCAGGTTGCTCTAAATAAGTGAAATAGAACCCCTTGGCTTGTTTTCTGGGAAATGAAGTTTAAAAAGTATGATTTTGAAAAAAAGTGTGGTTTTAAACAATAAGTTTTTATGTACATAGAAGTGTGTGAGAGTGTTTCTGGTGCTTGATTATCAGTAGTAGTAACTTTGTGAGACAAAGTTTATCAGAGCACCTTGCAAACTTTCAAGTAATTCCCTTTGAATTCTTCAGGTCTTTAGTGTAAAGATGAAAGACTGTCTGCAAGTAAATAAGGTATAGACTAGCAATAGAATTTAGAGATCTTTGTTGTCTATATTCATTTAACAGGATGTGTTTGTCTCAAGAAGTCCAGCCTGAATTTTTTTATGATGGTTGTCATTTAGCAATGCTTTTGTGTGTGTGTGTGTGTGTGAGTGTGTATACGCATGCACATGCATGCATGTGGAAAACTGTGTTAGGTGTAGAGCATAGACAGTTTCCAAAAGATATCTTGGAAAGAACTTTACTACATCGATGACCCATATTCTCTGGGAGTCTTAGAAGTAAATTCAGTATATCGACAGAAAAACTACATTCATGCATTGATAGCATAATACAGTGGAAATAAGCACGTGCCTTTAGGCAAAGGAATATGAGTTTATGATGTTCAGTCGTATCACTTCCCAAGTGTGTGACTTTGAGGGAGTTAACTGACCTCTTTTAAAAGTCTATCTTAACTGACAAATTAAAATTATATATATTTATTATGTATGACATGTTTTGAATTATGTATATGTTATGGAATGGCTAAATCAAGCTAATTAACATATGCTTTACTTCATATAATTAGTTTTTTGTGAACACTTGAAATCTATTCTCTTAGCCATTTTCAAGAATGCAATACATTGCTATGTTGTTCAACAGATCTTCTGATACCAAGTCTCAGATTCCAGTGTTTTTTCTGTCAAGCAGATATCATAATACCTTTTGGAGTGTGATTGTGAGAATTGAATGAGGTAATATATAGGTTCTGATTTATTTAGGAACTTAATAAGTAGCAAAGAGTATATTGATTTTTAAAATAATATAACAACTTTGGAAGTGACATTGTGCTATGCCAGAGAGCAGTGGACTATTTGATGCTCAAAATCAGTATTGAATTGGAGCCAGTGTTGCAGGGAGTAGCTTATAGAGAAGAATTGTAAGCAAAATAGTATATAATATTGTGAAGATTCCAGTACTTTCTATATGTAAAGCCTTGTGCTAGAATTACAGAGTGTTCTTTAAGAAATAGGGATTTAAAAAATGAGCGGGAGTTGACAAAGGAGGAAAGTAAATGCTATGCTGTGGAGTTGGAACTGTATTCTAAAGGCCAGTTCTTCTCCAACTTTAATGTGCATTAGAATAATTGGAGAGTTTGATAAAACACAAGTTGCTGGGTTTCATTCCCTGAGTTTAGGATTCAATAGGTCTGAGGTAGTGCTTGAGATTTACTTGTATAATGAGTTCTGTGAACTGAACTGTGTTCCCCCAAAATTCATATGCTCAAACCCTAACTCCCAATGTGACAGCATTGGGAGATTAGGCTTTTAGGAAGTAATTAAGATTAAATGAGGTCATAATGGTGAGGTCTAAATCTAATAGAATCTGTGGCCTTATATTTATAAGAAGAAGAGAGAAAGATACATGTGAAGACATAGCAAGAAGGCCACCATCTAAGCCAGAAGAGAGCTCTCACCAGAAACAGAATCAATCAGCGTCTTAACCTGAGACTTCCCAGACTCAATAACTGTAAGAAAATAAATTTTTGTCATTTAAGCCAGTCTGTCCATAGTGTCTTTTTATGGCATCCTGAGCTTACAAATGCAATGGCATCCCAAGTGATACAGTTATTACTGGTCAAGAGACCACTTTTTGGGAACCACTGCTAAGAACAATGGCCCTTAAAGGTTTCTATAGCCCAGTGTTTTTTCTATTCACCCTCACTTCTCATAGCTGTGTGTATGTGTCTTTTTTTTTTAAACTGGATCCTGATTACAGTGTTAGGGAAAGTCAAACAAGGACTATGGAAAACCAAAGGCAATAAGAGCGAGCCATTAATGAATCTCATCGGCTTGTCCTCTCTCTGTTTCATGAGTAGATGCTCTCTACTGAAGATCTTTTAACAGATTTCAGTTCATTAAATCTTTAGTCCCGTGGTGGCAATAAGGGAGGGGACAAATTGCTGACAAAAATTTGGTACCCTCAGCTTTATTTTCTTTCTTCTATTAAACTGCAAAGTCATATTTCACTTTTGAATTTTTCTCTGGTGACTAAAAAACACAATATGGCTTATAAAAAGTCCAACTTACAGTTTAGGCACCAGGCGAATTAGCTTGTAGGTAAGAAAGATGGTTTGCCCTTTGTGTTTCAGATCTTGCAATTCCATATCTTTCTTTTCCTTCACTGATCCTCTTGTCCTTTCTCCTTAGCCACCAAGACACCTCACACACTTATCACTCTCCTTTACAAAACATGAGATGCACAAAACATGAGGAAAGATAGGATACACTTATTTTAAGCACTACGTTAATTACATCTTCCAATAACAAGACAAACACATTTCTCTTCAACCTCCAGACACCCCTTTCAGGAGGAAAACTGCTCAATTGAAATCAAGAGTAAATTTTTAATCTGCACAATAAATATACTATTTTCTTTGTGTTTCCAGAAATCCAAGCATTGTGTTTCTAGCTATCTGTAGATTACTATTGTACTTACTAAACTGCCCTTTGAAAATATTAGTTTATCATATGCTTCTTGCCTTTCTGAACCACGCTTATATGTATCAAATCTTTTAGTCACATAAGAGCTGTACTGAATAAATGTTTGCTCATTTGAATGAAATGCGTGATATATAGCTTTACATATTCCTTCATCAGGAATATGTAAACTTCAGACAGTTGTGTTTAAGCCAAAGCATGAATCAGAATTGTCAAAATGTGGATTATATGACCTTACTTTGATAGAACTTGAATGGAGCCCAGATACGTTTGTTTTTAACAAATATCCATGAGCAATTATTAGAACCACACATTCAGAAACTGTCTTTAATTTATGACATGCAGGTCTCACACGTTGGAATTTAAGGTGTTAGTTCTTCATATAGGAGAAGATTAAAGGGAATATTAGGGCTTGTCTGACCTATTGAAATAAAATGGTGTACTTAATTATTTCCTCCAGCTAAAATAATCATAATAATAGCTTTTAATCCTTTTGATATTCTGGTATCTGAATATTAAGTGAATTTCAGCTTTTTCTTGTGAGTCATGTTTTATACTCCCAATTTCTAGTTTCCAGGCTGACTAATCTATAGAACAGCCAATGCAAGAAAAAGGAGTGGTTGAGATAGTGAGTTCCATGTCTTATATTATTGTATTCTATATATGTCAAAACAAGAAAGAACACAATTTAATTAAAATCTTTGGTTTTTTTTAAGGAGCCAATGTTTACTATAATTAGTTTCTTTTATCCTTCATGGCAACATTCAATTTTAAATATCCATTTACTCATTCTTAACTAAGGCTGAATTATATTGGAACTTCTGTAGTAGTACTTGTGACATCTGTTTGAATACAAAGTATATTCATTATAGTCATTACAATTAAAATGAATATCAAATGAGTTGGTAATAGCTATATACTTAAAATGTTATTCTTTATTTTAAGAGCTTTACCCTCAAGAGTTCATTTGTGGCTCTACAATTCCTAATGGTACTTCTGATAAAGAGTTGATAAGCATATGGACCTTATTTTGATTTTGATAAATGTTTGTTTGTACCATACAATTAGTTAGCAAATATAGAATTACTCATTATTTGTTTCTTACAACTTTTACAAGGATAGTAATATATGGCTTTCAATGTTGTATTTTATTACTAAAAATTTGTTAAATGTAATCAAATTTAAAATAATGATTTTGCCATTATTTATGGTCATATCTATTCTGGCAATGTGACTATTAATTCAGTTGTCCTCAACTTTAGAAAAGACATAGAAATAAAACAAATACAATTATTTTATTTTATGTAGAAGAGCCTATTTGGGACAAGACATGCCAATTTAAGAATGAACCAATTAGTTCTACCATTAATGAAAACCATTAATGGCTATCCAAAGAGAAGTCTGCATGCTTTATATTTACAAGGAGGAGCCCCCAAAACTGGAATTACCTCTTGGAGGACAAGCCCCTTGTAGTACAGAATTCTCCCACTAGGCAAGTGTTCTAGGAACCCATTGGCATCAGTGTACCAGCTAGCATTGCTGTGAAAGGTTGCATGAGGTTTCAGTGAATTTTTTTGGAGATTCTTTTGATATGCTTGCTCACTTCGTGATGGGTGGTTTACAAGTGCACCTGCCCACACCATGCTGTTTTCAGCAGTTTTTGACCAAAAATGTCTTGACCCCCATGCCCCACTCTCTGTATTTACCTGATCTCACCCCGAGCAGCTTCTTTTTGTTTCTCTGGATGAAAAAAATCCTCAGAAGGAAATGTCTTGCCCAAGTGAAAGAAGTAAAACAAGGCAGAAGCATTAAAAGGAATCAAAATTGATGAGTTCAAAAACTTTTGAGCAGTAGACAAAAAATTACTGATTTTTGCATCAAACAGAGTTCTTTGAAGGTGACTGAAACTTAAACATGTAAGAATAAATATACAATTTTTTATAAATAAATTGTGTTTTAGTGGGTCCCCTTTGTGTATCATCCAGAATTATGAATGGAATAACATCTGAATTCTGAAAGGTAAAAGTTATTAAATAGTAATACCTACTTCCTAAATAAGCACCATAACTCAAATTTGATAAATTCAGTGCCAAGAAAGTTACATTAGGTCCTACTTAAGCAGTCTTAGTCAACAATTCTAATGCTTTTAG